CGGCCAGCCGGTGGAGCTCGGGGGCGGGCAGGCTCAGCCGCGCTCAGCCCGCAGCGGCCCCTCAGCTGGCGCTTTGTGGGCACCGAGCGCAGCCGGAACGGCTCCGGCCTAGACGAGCCGCAGGCCCGCGCAGCGCGCCCCCTGTCGGCCCCAGCGGCCACTTCCGCCCCGCGGCTGGGTCGACTCGGCCGGGTGGCGGGGTCTGCTCCACGGAGCCGGTGCCTCTGTCTCCTCTCACGCCCCGAGAGCGCTCCCCAGATGCGAGCTGAGGGCCTCAAACCAGGGCTCGTCTGGGGAGGGGTCCTTCCTGGCGGCTACATTCGCAGGCACCGCCTGAAGCAAGGCTGGAGGGCGGGAGGGCAGCCCACTCTAGAAAGGTGGAACCAGGCGGAGGGCGAAAGCCGAAGGGCAGGCAGGGCCCAAGTGAGCCTAGAGTGAGTGACCGAGAGGCACACATCTGTGATGAAGATGTTCGTCATTTGCAGAAATTGCACATGTGGCTGCCGAGGTGAAGCGGTTCACGTCCCACGTGGCCCGTGTTAGAACCAAAACTCTCTAGTCGTCCTACGTCTCGGATGACTGAGGTTTCGGTTTGCTGGGTCTGTGCTAGTGGACAGGAGAGAACCAAGTGTTGTCTGTGGAGGTTGGCAGAGTGTATATTATAGCAAGACGGCCGCAGTAACCCGGAGTTTCCAGCACAGTCCTCATTTCAAACATGTGAACATGAATCAAAGTCCTCCCAAACCTGTATTTCAACAAATGAACCAAGTCAATGTCCATAACAAACTATCTATAAATCACAAAAGTATGACAACCATCCTGTTGGGGCACCTGCTCTTGAGCATACCAGCTATTTTTAGACTGTAGCTACACCTGCAGTGTGTAATTTGAGATCTACCTGAATGTATATTTTGGTCAAATGGTGAATGTTTGATAGTTAAAAATTGCTATTCTCTGAATCAGAATGTCGCCATAACAGAATGAACTTCTGGAAAAATATCTGAATTTTCTTGGGAAGGAAATTCGTTTTTATAATTTTATTATTAAAAATGTAGTAGTTAAAATTTTACAGTTTGACCTTATAAGGTCAAGAACAGTAATTTCTCGGTCCTGTCAACTGTTGGTTGCTCCCAAGACCATTAAACAGGGACATTTGCGTTACTAAATAAGATACTTTCAACTGAGCTCCATGGAGAAGCAAGGCTAGCTCTGCCAGTATAATATGGTGATATTGCCACCAATTTATTAAACGTTCCTTTTTCTAATAGGAGCTTATTAAGGTAAAGACTTTTCTCCTTTTTAATTTTTAGCCTTGAAAACTTTTTGGATGGTTGATGGCATTTCATTGAAGCAATTTCAGTGACTGGAGTTTTGTGCACTGTTTCAAAAAGATGCATGATATTTTCAGAAGCAGATTTAAGATCGTTGCGCTCGTTTATATTTTTTATTTCTGATTTCTAATATTTTTTTCTGTTCTTGCCGCTCTACACAATCACTAGAGAAAATTTTGTCCTTAAAGTTTGGATCTAGAAATGTGAAAACGGAGCAATTTAATTGGTTTTCAAGTTAAGAAAATAATCGAAGTTTCCATCTGCATCTTAGCTTTCCTTGTATGCACACCAATTTCGGCATCCGCCCTGGAGTAGAATCAAAGGAAGATCTTTTCAGCAGGAGTCATGTAGGAAATACTTGCACTCTCAAGACACACCAATTTATTCAGCAAGTTCCGACAAACAACCTGTTTGCTCTGCAGGCAACCATTGGTTATTAGTAAGTCTTGCTACGTTGGTAATGTTCTCTGGAAAATACAAAATTAAGGCCTTCTTGATTCCATCAGCCTTTGAAGGATGTAATAGCTGCTATCCCATCTAGTTTAAATATCTTGTGTATGTACATGACAAGACAATTTCAAAATCCCTCGTGTATCATAATTTGTTATTGGCTGAAGAAGAATTGTGGAAGTGGTCTATAATCTTTCTGCTTGCAGCCAGTCATTTTCTGTTACATCTTTTTAAACTATAACCATTTTCTGAAAATAAAACTGAAGGGTGTAAACAAATTATATTATGCTTATGTTCATAGCCTTCACCATATTTGTTCCATGGTCTATGACAATTTCATGCATTTCTCTATACAGATTTTACATTCCATAAATATTTCTCAAAGTCAGATTCACTATGTGTGTGAAACCCAGGAATCCTTCATCAGGTAAGGAAAGTAGAAACATGGTTAATAAATGATTAATTCTCTGTGTTGTTAAACCTAAAAAATTAAGGTTGATTCTTCATGTCCAAATGTCACATAGACCATATACTGTGGCAGCATATGTAATAATCTCATTAACCTTTTTGCGCACAGCAAAATATAAATCAGGAAAAGTTTTTAGGAATTTTTTCTAAACGAAATCAGTATTTAGAATTCATAGCTTGGGCAAATCTCAAAAATCCTTTCTCTTCAACTGCTGAAAATGGTTATCAGTCTATAGCAATTATTTCTACAAGCTTTAAAAAATATTAGCTTTCACAGATCCCAAACCATGAGGCATTGTCTTATTAAAAGCATAGAGTTTGTTGTTTACAGAGAACAAATATATTTTGGATGTCTCATTTAATCTAACTTTTCTCCTTTTTTCACACTCTATATTTTTAATCATGTCTCAAAGATGATTTATCATATATGTGTTATATGTGAGTTTTTTTGTCCTCGTGAAATTTTGAGGGAGCCACATTGACATTCTACTTTTAATTTATCCTTCTAATACGTGAAAAATTACCAAATAGGGCTTTTGTTTTTTTAAGATTCACAGACTAAATGGAATTAAATAATTAAACATTAGTCTAAAGATTATTTTATTTAGTATTATGAATGCAATTGTACCAAATAATTCTAAAGTAATTAGAATTATGATATAATCTAATCTTTATTATTTTGACCTGTGGTAGTATTTATATTTTTATAAACATGTGTAGGCTCAAAAAGGATATAATGTTCTTTCTAAAGTTATCTAGATAACATTCTCTCAATATTCATATTTTAAAGATTTTTTTTTTTTTAATTTATTTTATTTTTTCCCCCCAAAGCCCCAGTAGATAGTTGTACGCCATAGCTGCACATCCCTCTAGTTGCTCCATGTGGGACTCGGCCTCAGGATGGACGGAGAAGCGGTGCCTCGATGCGCACCCGGGATCCGAACCCGGGCCACCAGCATCGCAGCGCGCGCACTCAACCACCAAGCCACAGGGCCGGCCCTCAATATTCATATTAACTGTTAATGTATTTAAGTATTTGAAAGTTCTTGTTTATTAGATAGATTCAAAACCTTTCATAATCCTTGATAATTATGGTAGCATTTTACTTTTGCAATATTAATAATGCATTCATGTATAGTTCAACTGACTGTTAGCATTTCAATATATAAAGCACATCATCAAATTTTGTACTTCAAGTTACATCTAGAATATAGAATACTTAAATTTGAAAGTAGACTTTCAGGGGCCGGCCAGGTGGTGTAGCAGTTAAGTGTGTGCAATCCGCTTCAGCGGCCTGAGGGTTCGCTGGTTTGGATCCTGGGCACGCACAGATGACCGCTTGTCAAGCCGTGCTGTGGTAGCGTCCCATATAAAGTAGAGGAAGATGGGCACGGATGTTAGCCCAGGGCCAATCTTCCTCAGCAAAAAGAGGAGGATTCGCATCAGATGTTAGCTCAGGGCTGATCTTCCTCAAAAAGAAAGTAGATTTTCAGATATTAACAATAAATATGAATGACCTGCCATGTTTATGTTACTGAAGATTGATGCACTGATGGGATATGATGGAAATCTACGTAAATCACATGATCATTACTCATGTACAGGTCTAAGGATGCCAGAAATGACATTGAGTGAGCAGGCAGCTGTTCCACTTTGCAATTGCCAAGGCTGAAGCCGCAGCTGAACAGCAGAATTTGGCCAAACACTGAGCCAGAAGCCAAAGGTCAGTGCACTCCCACTACACGTGCATGTAGTTCTTGTCTAGACATATGTGAAAAACCTGACAATTGTGCAGTGACCAGATGGCAGATTGTAGATGAAAATTTCCAAATGATTATTATCCATCTAGGCTGGAATTATGGATGTTATTTTTAAATTATTTAAATATTTTTATATTTATATGATGTAAATAGGTTGAAATTATTTTGTATTTTTACTACCAATGGCCACCAAAATTCTGAGATTGACACATTTACTTTTTCATTTTGCCTTTGTCCATTCACATTTATTATTCTTTTTCTGTGCTTTGCAAAATATTTGAAATATACAGGGATGTATAAAGCTTACTCTTCTATAGCATTAAATATTCTTCTAAAACACAAATTTAATGTGTACGTATTATTTTATTGGACAGATGTTTAATAATTTATTTATACATTTGGGTTCTGGTTTTTCACCACTACCTAAACTTAAGATGATTCTGCTTGTCCGTAAATCTTTATATGTTTCTTTGATTGTTTCATTAGACTCAGTTGCTGGGAGTGGGAGATTACTAGTCAAGGGTATGGTTATTATTTAGATTTTGAGGCATATGGCCAGATGTGCTATCCAGAGAAGTTACACCAGTTTACATTCCCACCAGCAATATATAACTCCCACTTTCATTTTTTGTTGTGTCTTTCAATGTTCCAAAGTTTGTTTTTATGTAGTCAAATCTGTCAGTGTTTTCCTTTATGCCTTCTAAGTTTTATGTTTTGCCTCCTTACTCCAAAATTATAAAAATATTCTTATATTTTCTTCTAGTTCTGGAAAAAAATATCTTAAAATCTTTTCCCATTGCATGATCTGTTAATAGCAATAACCACTAACATTTATTGAGTACTGAATGCCAGGGACCATGCTATGCACTTTACATGTGTTGTATGATCTAATCTTCTCAACTATTGTATAATGAAGATAACATGCTTTAAAGGTTAAATAATTTGCCCAAGGTCAGAGGACTAAGAAGTGAACAAGTCAGGATTCAAATGCAAGTTCCTTTGACTTCACAGCCCAAGCTCTTGACCACTCTGCTGTACTACCTCCTTTGTGGCCTTTAAACCAAACATTAATGTGAAATTGTTAGCTGAATAAGATAAAACAAACAGCCTACAGATCAGAGATGGCTGAAGGTGCTTATAGATTTTTCATTGAGAAGATATTACAATTTGAAACATTCAATAATATGCAAAATTGTCTTTTCACTGTCAAGTGTAAATTGATTAACAACTTTGGGTTTTGGAAAAGTCATCAGTGA